GGCCGCGGCGGCGGGAAGCGGGAGGCGGTGGCTGAGGGCGCCGGTGCCGGCACCGAGGGCCTGAACTTGCTTTGCAAGTTTGTTCGCTGCAAACACCGCAGCGAAGGATACACAAAATGAATAAAAAATGCCCTCCTTTCTTGAGAGCAATGCCGGTGGCATTAGTGTGATAAAAGTATTTTAAGTGATGCATTCGAGCTCCCTCTAAAAGTATATGGAGGCCTGGGAGAAACCCACCGTTCCCCTGTTGCCGTCGTTCTCGCTCATGGTCCTATGTAATCGGCCTTGTAAACTGGGGAGGGGGGTTTCCCTTGCTTCGGTGTCCTGGGTTGCTCTAGAGAATTTTATTTTTATTTATTTGTTTGTTGTCTCTCCAGAATTAATTGCAAGGAAATAAGCTTGCTTCTCGGAGGGATCGGAGGGCGCTGCATGACTGGCACTGCCCGCCTTGCTTTTTCCTTGCCTCCTGGGGTTGCTGTCAGCCCTTGTTAAAGAAGACCTCTAGCTGTAATGTGAATTAAATTAGTGAAGTAGTCTCTGCTTTAAGCATCGCTAATTCCATGCTATAGGCTTTTGTGTGTGTGTGTGTGAATCAGTAGGTGAAGAAGTTAGACTGTAATTGCAGAAAATCTTGGCATGGCTTGTTTTCAGGGTGAAAAACAGGACGTGAGAACACAAATGTCATTAAGATATTTTGGCTTGACACCTTCACATTTTGTATACTGTGATTACTGTTACCAAGTATAACTGCAGTTTATAACTTCCTTACTGTAGCACACGTTTTAAAAATTGGCTGACAAACTTAATAGGCGGTCATGTCAAAATAGAGGTACATCTTAATCATCTTAATTTTTGTGCCTTTTTTTTTTCTTTCAGTTTAGTGATCCGTGGTGAAAAGGATGAGCAAGCGGTGTTGTGCAGCAAAGATAAAACCTATGAAATGAAAATAGCAGACACCTCAAATATGCTCCTCTGTGTTCCTGGTTGCAAAACTCCAGAACAGCTGAAGGCAGATGAAGAATCTTGTGACATTATTCATGCACAGGTATACCTGCCTGGGCTTTTGTTCATTTGCCTTTATTCTCTGATTTTTTGTTCTCTGTAATTGCTTTTAATTTATCCAAGATGCTCATATGAAATGCTAGCTGGGATTCAGCTGCCTAAACACACACTCTAGTGCCATTTAGATGCCTTGTCATATAGGTCCAGCTGCCCCTCCAGGAGGACCTGGGTCCCCTGTGGGTCTCAGTGTATCTAACAGTCCTGTGAGGATGTTTTGATAGAGGTGGTTTAGTAATTCATGAAAATTATTGTTTCTCAGAGGTTCAGGGTTTATTTTTAGTGGGTAGTGATTACCTGTGTTAAGTATTAAAAGGTTTCAAAGAATACCTAATTTGTCTGGCTTAGCAGCTGTTCTAAAAGCAAGCTGTTTGCAAATTCGTTCTTATGAGTCCTTTCCCCCAAAAAACAGATTATACAATGTCCTGCCTGATTATTTTTTTTAGGTACAGAAATGTATTAAAAAGTGACTGTTATTCAACCAGCATATCTGGAAAGGTCTGTTGGAGTAGATGATTTTAGTGTTCTGAGTTTAAAGAAGTCATTATTCTCTGCTCTTTTGAACTGTAGTTAATAAAACTGTACTAAAAATAGTTAGGAGAAGCTTATTACCTGCTAATTATGTCCATTAGAGCAAATAATGACATAATTAAGGAACAATCCTGATTGTTCTTAGGTGACATAATACTCAAAAACAATATGACTTTCCTCCATGAAATGACAGCAGTTAGCAAAATTAAAACTAATTTAAAGTGGATTCATGAAAAAGTAGTATTATTCTGTATTCTCTTTTGGTATGTTTAGTGATCTCACTAATTCTCTGAAGTCACACATGTCAAAATAATACAGATGTGATTTGACTTGGAATTATTTGAGGGGGAGGAGGTTATGTTTACCAGCTTTCTTAATGCTTTCAAAAACTTTATGTTGTGTATTGACACTGAAAAATCTGGGAGATAGCAAAAGATCCTATGCACTGCCAGTCTTTACAGTTGATCAGTGCTGTTCTATCCTACCACTTGGCAGGATATTTATAGGACCAAAGCATCTATCATTATACTTACCTTATGTAGACTAAATCTAGTTGTGAACTTTGAATTATAAATTGATATGATTTGTTTGCTATGTAGAGTACTGTCTTGCTCATTGCTATATTGCTCAGAAAAAAAATCTTGTCAGAAAAATCTTAAAACACATAAATGCTATTCATTCCACATGGAGAAAAAATGTAGAACTTTCATCAGGAATTAAGTATTTATCAGAATCTTATGCCAAGGAAGCTATGGAATGAGTAGATTAAAAACTGTAGGCTTTCTCTATATTAGAATTTGGATAGAGCTTGTCCTACATACAGGTTGTTTCCTTACAGTTGATTTAAAGGGATGAAAGTGGGATCATACAGACAGGATTTTATGGGAGTTGTGCCCATAGTATTAAGAGGAAAAAACGATTGGCAAGGATTGTGCAGGACTGTGTCTCATTGCTGTATTCCATTATTTGCACAAAGACACAATGTAGAGATGGTCTCTTCCTCTTTGTTATGTGCACTGTAAGCGTATTTTTATCAACAAATTCTGTATTTTTATTCTTTATTCACAGTGGTAAAATTCGATGTTGAAATATTACAGTGATTATCTCATTCTTAAAGTTGTTAGCCTGCTTAGGAAAAAAAAATCTTCCCAATAACTAGATTAAAACTCTTTGCTAGTAGTTTTTGGTAAGCTCCTTTGAATGTATATGATAGATACAAGAGTTTCAGGTGTGTCTTCACTTTCTCACCGTAGATTGCTGGCTTTTCCAATAACTACTGGGAATTAAGGAGATGCCGACCTAAACTGAAGAAGCTGAGGAAGCTTTTAATGGAAGATCCATATGAGGGGCCAGACTGTGTAAAAGATCAAGCTTCAGCTGCTTCAAAGGTAAGTCAGCTCAATGGCGCATCTTCTTGTAAATGGTAATGAGCAAATTGAAGTAAAGACACTTTCTGAACTAGTGAAATATCATTACTGTCATGTTTTGTGGTTCATCTTTGAGTTGATTTATTTATAATCTATTACTCTAAACTAGGTGGCAATTTTTAGTAGTTCCACTGATTGTAGCAGGTAAGTTCAATGTCTTTTTTCTTGTTTTACCATAGAAGGAAACTGGAAATTTCTTTTGTTTTAATGTAAGAGAGCTAAAGTAACACGGAGAAAGGATAACCTGTTTCTTCTCTCCCTCCCTCCTTTCTTCTCTCTCTCCATTTTTTCTTTTTTTTTTTTATCCTCATTGCAGTATACAACAGAAGATTTATTAAATGTGGTTCAAGCAAGTGAAGAAGAAATAATGCACCAGTTGCAGGTTTTAGATGCCTGCCAAATTGAAGGTATTTGTTTCTACAGAATATTATTGCCTATGTTTTTGTCTCCACAGGTATCTGTGTTGTCTTTTTCAAAGGGCCATTCTACATGCTTATTTCGCCAGGTGTAAATTAGGCCTTAGCTATGGTGCAGTGTCCTAAAATCTGTTTCTGTATTTCCTATATCTTTATTTGCTATGAAGCTGATTAAAAAAAAAAAAAAGCAACTAAACAAAGAAAAAATTAAACCAAAAGCCACTGTGCAGGCCTTGACTCGTCTGGCTCTTCTGGGAGTACTTCTAGGAATGCTGGCGACAGAGTATCCCAGCTGAACCTTTTTGCTGGTTGTGGTGGGTGGCTCCCATTGCTTAATGGGAGACATTCTTGCAGAGAGACTTTCCTGGTCACTTAAAATTGCCTGACACCATCCTGCCAGTTATGGGCATAGCTAATAGAGCGCTCACTACACTTCTAAGGTAGTGGTGCTTTAAAAAATAAAAAATAAACTGGACTAAGCAGGTTATTGAGATCACTGTTCAGAGACAGCAGGGTGGCTCTGGATGGGTCAGTTTCCCTCAATTCCTGCTTTGTCAGATCTGTATTTTTATGGTGGCAGGACCTGAACTAACCCTCTTCAGAGCCGGTGTCTTCCCAGTTCTGCTGCTTCCAGGAGCACATGGCTGGGATACAAGATGTGGTTCTGCATTGCTGGGTATCAGTGAGCAGGTTTCACTTGTTTGGGTGGGCTTTGCACTGCAAGGAAGTAGTTAAACTCCCTATCACAGCTGGTCTGGAAATCAGTTCAGTTTGGTTCATGCAGTTCTGTGCTCAAATTAATAGTTTTTCTCAGTTTATTTTATGATGGGATTAGAACTATTTGTGGCAGTCAATCTACATAAACAACTATGAATAATTAAGAGTTGATGCTATTTTTTTCTTCTTTATGCTTGCTAATCTCTTCTTTCTCTTACTCTTAATCCTGAAGAAGTCAGAATACTGTCTCTGAACTTTGGAAAGGTGGGACCTAAGTTTCAGAATTCTGTTATGTACCTTCATGGGAATAGATTTAAGGTGCTAGTGTTTCCATTCTGAGACTGTTATGTGCTTTTCTATTTGGCAGGATATTGGAGAATTCTAAACTTTGACTATGAGGTAAAACTCTTGAATCATGTGACTCAGCTAATAGACTCAGAGTCTTGGTCTTTCAGTAAAGTCCCTTTAAACATCTGTCTTCAAGAACTTGGACCTTTAGAGCCCACGTAAGCAAAATTTTTCTTCTTTTTTTATTACTTAGAAGTGTCTCTAGTCATTATCAACACTTATGTTTATTAGAAATATATTCAACCCTATTAAACTCTAGATTCCAATTCCTGTCATGTTATTAAATTTTCTCTGTCTCTAAAATATGCAAGTGCATTAGTAGTCCTCTGGTATATCCACCCAGGAAAACATGACTGTTATGTGTCTTTGGAGGCAAGAATTACTTCTAAACCTTCAGGTATCCAGCTAGTTTTACTGATTGATGCAAGCTCTTCTTGGAGATACACACACATATATATATATACACACACACATATATATGTGTGTATATATATATAAATATATATAATACCTATTCCTTTATCTTCTTTTGGTAATGTGCTATGAAACATTGGGCAAGAAACAGTTGAGAATATTTTCACATACAATTATTAAACCATAATGTCTTTTGTCATATATAAGAGATAGTGGCAAGTAGTTTTAATTTCTGATCTTTTTCAGAGAGATGATAGAACATATTCTGCTAAGCTATGGAAGGAAATACACCGATGGAGGTAAGTTGGGAAAAGCATACGTATTTAAATTTGCACATTGTTCACAAATAACTGAAGATTTTATTAGGATCCTCAAACAAATGAATTCACTACAATGGCAATACAAAGAAGGACATAATACTGAGGTAAAAATCAGTAAAAACTTCAGAGAAAGTTTCATAGGGAGAATACTATTCAACTGTAGAATACAACACTAGGGAAAATATGGATTACAGGTATCTAAAGTGACCTAAAGAGGTATCTAAAGGTATCTAAAGTGAAAACATCTAAAGATATCTTCATAGTTTTTAATTAAAGACAGATCTCTGGTATAATTTGAATGTAATTTATTTAATGGAATTAATTATTTGGTTATACAAACTAGTCTGTCCTGCAAAATTTTATAGCCCTTTGATGGAACATGCAGACAAACCATGTGTATCTAGAATTTCAGATTGTAATGGCAAGTTTGAAAAAAAATGCTTGGAAAGACAAGATTCCACCTGAAAAGGAGGTGCTGAAGTCTAGGCTCCTGAAGGGAGTTTTCTTGTGCATGAGCTCAGGCAGCTAAACTTTCAGACAGTGGAAATCCAGGGCTCTATTCATTTGTTTGAAGCCAGGCATCTAATGCCATCTGAGATAACCCTAGTATTCTCTGCGGGCTGGTCCAAAAGGACGCACGTCTGCCATGGGTGGCATCTAATCTACATCTGAATTCTTTCCTCTAGCTCCTTTCATCTCACCCTTGGCTGAATCAGGAGTTGGACTCAACCTTAAATGCCATAGGAGAGCATTTCTAGGAACACAGATTATCAGATTATATTTTTTTAGTATCCCTAGACGGGTTGTGCAGGGAACAAGTTCAAATTGCAGTCTGCAGGACTGAAAGGTGGAAAGTGGTTTTTATGCCTGTGCTTGTTCAGAGAATTTTAACCAAGTCACTGAGAAGGAAAAATTCTCCTTATTGCTTTCATCATCCCATATTAATAATTGTAACTGGGGAAGTGAAGCTTTTGTTGAATTGGGCAGTTGCAGAGATCCAACCCTGTTAATACCAGCCATTCAGAAATGTGAATGAAAGCTAAATAAGAAATAGCAATACACTGAGGAAAAGAAGATATTTTATCTTGGGGTGGGGGAACAATCCACGCACGTTAGTATGCTCTGTGGCCAGAGCAGTGCTGAATTATTTGTCCTTCAGAATAGAGAATATCCTGTCATTTAGCCAAGCCATGTTACTTCTCTGGGAAGAGGAGAAATGGATTACTTGGTCTGTAGATTATAGAGTGGAGATATGAGAGTATTCTTTTATTTTATTAGCCAAAAAAACAAGAACCCAAAACACTTTTTTTTGTTTCTTATCAGGGGAAGTTTACTTTGAAATGAATGAAGATAAAATATGCCGAACTACAGCACGAATGCTCTTACAAAATGCAGTTAAATTCAATCTAGCAGATTTTCAAGAAGTCTGGCAACAAAGTGTCCCAGAAGGGCTGACTACAAGGCTTGATCAGCTCAAGGTAAAAAACATAAAGAAATATGGATTCTTTTGCAGCTAAACCGTTAACTAACCTGTGTGCTATGGAGACATGAGAGGTCAATGGTAGTGGTTTTGTGTCAGCTTCTGAGCTAAAGCACTTTTTATGGCTTCTTTATAGTCATACATAGTGTGAAATTATGACAGTTCAGGTTTCTCTAAGAGTCTGATACATCTCATTTTTTGAAGGAAGAAGCAATTGTAGAGTTAATACTTGTAAATAAAACACAGAAGCTGAAACTACAGGGTAACAGATTGTAAAGACAAACAGTAGTGTTGCAAATATTGCAGAAATTCTGTTCCTGAAAGGAGACAGCCTTGTCATAACTTAATGAGTTCCCCTTCCTTCTTGTCATCCAGGGAATGACAAATGCTGCATACATAACAGCACGTTATTCTTTTTTCCCTTCGTTGCCTCTGCTATTGCAATTACAGAAGGCTTTGGAAGGCATTTTGTATGGATTACTGCTAAAAGAAAGTTTAATTGTCTTTAGTGTTTTTTTTTTATGTTATTAATTGTTAAGCAGTTTCTCTGATTCTGGTCTAATAGGGTCTGGCTCTTGTGGACAGAAACTCCAGACCAGAGACCATCTGTCTGCTGAAAGTAGAAGACTTACCTGAGGATAATCAGGAAAGGTTCAACAGCTTGTTTAGCATACGAGAAAAATGGACAGAAGAGGATATTACTCCCTATATACAGTAAGGATGTAGTTGAAAAAAGACTATTTTAAAAAATAAATAAAGACAGTGAAATGTAAAGAACTATTATATATTTAGTGTTCACATTCTGCCTTTTTTGCCTGTCTGATTTTTTTTATCAGCTATGATTCTTAAATACTACACTTTTGTCTTAGATTACTACAAATTCTATATGGATATTTTTAGCACCCCACTCACCTCCAAAAAAAAAAATCAAGTTGTATTTGACCTTTGGTGAAAAGTATGTCCCACCAAACTGAAACAGAGTATCAACTCTCTCCTTTGAGGTAGAAATGTAACTATACTAGCTCAAAGGATAAAGTTCTAAGTTCTAATTTGTCTCCGTATTTATAAATCGAGAGCAATGTAGAGCAATAGTGCTTCCCTTGCTGGATCCTTCGTTCTTTTTGGTGGTTAACATTTATATTACAATGCTATCTGGAATGTCCAGCCAGGATACATAGATGAGAACGCAGAAATAACTACATCAATCCATGAGGAGAGTTTCAGAATTTAATGTAATGTAATTAAATATTTGCAAACCTGACCGTTTTACTTAATTGCAAACCCTTTAAAGAGTAAAAAAACAACCAAACAAAAACTCTCACTTGTTTCTGAAATAAATAATATGGTTTTGTCTGCTGCTAAAACATACCAAATCAAGCCCTGTCTGATTTTTTAGGTAATTTAGAGCATTTTATGGCAGTTACTTTTTTTTTTTTTTTTTTTTTTTTTTCTTACAAGACCCCAGTTAGCTGGCTGCTGTGTTTACAATTATTTTACTGAATCAATGTGTAGAAGAATGTCTTTAACACCAATGTAACCTGCTTTATTCCTTATACAGAGACTTATGTGCAGAGAAGCAGACCGTTGGTGCACTTCTGACCAAGTATGCCCGTTCCTCCATGCTGAATGGTGTCAAAGTTTATAACTCGAGAAGACCCATCTCTTAAGAAGTATTGCTTTAAGAACTGGCAATCCTGAAGGATATAACAGTTTTGCTCCTCTTGTCTTCGGGGGAGAAAAAGTCATTAATCAACTGTATGCAGTGTTCTCAAGTTAAAGCAGCTAAGTGTTTTGAATGAGCCCTGTTTTCTGCTCAGCTAAGTAGAGTGCAGGGGAATTTACTTCTTTGAAGAAAAAATATTAAGTGTAGCCTGTTTCCTACTCCTTTCCTTCTTTTCTTTTCTCTTGGTATATGTAGTCACTCCAGGAGGAGAGCTACTCCTTGAATTTTGTCTATACATAAACCAAAGACTAGCATTAAATCCTTTACTATAATAGTTGAATATAGGTTTCCAACAGCAAAATGGGAATGTTTAGTCATTTGCCTATCAGTGAATGTTCTTAAAATTTCAGATTTTATAGCGATGATGACATTTTGAATACTGTATACCTTGACAAGCTCATAAATAATTATTCCCAACTGAGACTACACTGGTCATAATTTTAGAAGGTTGTTTCATGTTTATGTGAATAACATTTATTGGAAAAGTATTTATGTTTATTGGTGCACACTCCTGACATCTTAACAGTTGGTAAAATTGCCTTTTAATATTGCAAAGAACAATTTCATAACAATCAGATTTGTAAAATCCAATATGAATGTGGGAAAGTATTTGGACGTTGTGTTACATCCTATAAACTGCCATTGGAATGTAGTTCATATGAAATTAATGGGTTGTGGAAGGTTGTCTTTGCTTTAAAGAGAACTTGTAAAAATGGAATTTTGCAAAATGATTTTTCTTTTATTCTACCAAGTACATGCATTTTGGCATTGTGCCTTGAAAACTTGGTGTGGATCTATATACCATGTATATCAATGAATCAGGAATTCCTGTAGTATTGCCACAGAATTGAGTGCCTGAATTTACCATTTCCTAATTATTAAAAGCTGTTTGCATTTGTCACTGAACGCTAGTATTAGACATTTTTCAAATATTAATCAAACTGTTGTTTTTAGGTAGAATAGTGCATAATCACACAGATGTACTGTGTGAAAGGTCTTGGAACACTTGGCATACCACGTGCTGTGCGCAGTGGAGAGGAAAAAATAAAAATCGGGCAAAACTCTTCAAGTGGATCCTAGGAATTTTATTATAGGGAAAGGCTGAATTAAAAACTACTTTTCTGAGCTGCGCTTCTCCTGGATTACTGATGCAGGATTGATTCTCAGATACCTATGACAAGATAATACAAAAATCTTGGAAATAACTTCAGTTGCTTCATATAAGGTTTGTTAGCTGAAGTGCATAAGACAAGTGTACAAGACTATAAGCCTTGTAGTCGGTGATGCAGCCATTTATTTTTACATAGCTTTTGCTTGTGGAATAAATAAGTTTAAGTGTTACGTTTATAGTGGAGTGTTGTGCTTTGGGTTAAATTATCTTCAAATGTGTATGTTTTTTAACACTTGTCATTTGCTTTGTTAAATATTCAGAAGGAGCTGACACTTTCTAGTTCTTGAGAACTGCTCTTTACGAGAAAAGAATGAGGGGATAACTTTATTAGCTTATTTGATGCAACTGCTTCCGTTCATGTAGCATAGGAAGATAAACCAAAACTTGCTTAGGACAAATCGAGGTTATGAAGAATCTGCAGCACCCCCAGCAAAACCGGTGCCACCTTCAATGTTGTAATGATTCAGATGTGGAGACCGTGTTGAGTTTGCTTTCCCCGCGTCTTTGAGCAGGCCCCAACCGCGTTTCACGCGGCCGCGGCGG